CAGCATTTCTTATCTTCAAAGCACTTTACAAATACCATTAAGAACCTCTGTCCATAATAGATATTCTCCTCCTTGTTGCAGAAAGAGAGAAAGTAACAGAGAGAATGAGTGACTTGCCCAGGGCCACAGTGCAAACTGGTCAGACTGACAAACCTAGGAATCAGTTTCTGCATTCTTCACCTTTTTGTGTGAGAACTTTTAAGTAGAAATTTTCCAGGATATTAGCTTCTGGAATGCACAGCACAAGTGTGACTATAACACCAAGTTAAGGAACCACTCCCATGTGTTTTTTTCAAAGTTTGACAGCAAGTATTGTTCTGATCCCTGAAAGTACAGGTAGGTTGTACATGACTCTCTTCCTCCAAAACAGATTAAGTAGAGAAAGCAAAATAATGTGAAGTGTTTCACATTTACAGAAGGAAAACTCTAGGAGAGCAACTGTGATGTGGAAACTGACTTCACATGCACACAGGACAGGCTAAAAATGGAAGACTGATACAGCATGTGCTGTATAATCAGTGATCTGCTTACAGCCATTCAGATCATCATGTGAACAGAGAACTTCTGTAGAACTTCTTGGTGGTACTCCACCAAAATACATTAGTACCACATCATGGTGATAATACTGAAGATCCTTTTTGTTTGAACAACAGCATTGTTTCCATGCTATGCATCACGATCATGGAGAAGTTTGGAAGAGGGTTCAGATAAGGTAAAAGAGAGTTTACACTATCCAGGAGACCATGACCTGCCCATCACTGGTGGGTAGCACCATTTATCCAGGACAGGGGAAGGAATATTACACAGCTAACTGCCACACTTCTGTCCTGAACTACCAAGGCTGATGTTGGCAATTAAAGATCATTAGCTTTCCCTAGCTGGTTTAGACACTAGCCAGTAAATAAAACTGCTTAACTCTGCTCCCTCAAGGTGCCCAAGTTGCTGCCAGCTTGTTGGAGAAGTGAGCTGAGTTTTACGGTAATCAGTGGGTCCAAAACATAATGGGTACTTGTGGAGAGATTAAGAGAAGACCGATGTAAAGGATTTCTGCACAAAGATTACATTGTCTCCCTTGCTTCTTCATTATGCAGTTATGTAAGGCTTTATGAAATTAACTGTTTCACACAAAACTGCCTAGAAAAAGTAAAGCAAATTAAGAAGGGGCGTGTGCCTTCACTGCCTCATCAGTGCACACCTCTGCTGGCACTCAGAAGGCAGCAGCCAGTCACACCAGTTGCACGGTGGTGGTGTGTCAGTCCAATGAGAACAAGCCCATGCACTTCAGGAATGCCTTTGTTATGGTTTGATTTTGCTGTACAAGGTACTTGCTTCTTTGCAAATTATTTCTGGTAGATGCAGCATTTATGTCAGAAAACATAAAGAATACCCACTGTGCTTTTGAAGTGCCTAGCACCATGCAAGCTGAGGAAACCAGGTATAAATGCGCTTCAGATTGTTAGATCTAAGTCTTCCAAGTTTGTAAGAGTTGCTTTATTTGTATATAAATGCAAATTATTTTGACAGAAATTAATAATGAAGTTTGTTTTTTCTAAACTCTATGTTGTATTTGTACTTCTTGCTTTGTTTTTTGGCGAGTGGCCAGTGGGATGACCGGTGGAGTAACAGAAGCAGCAGCACTACGGTACCATCTATTTTTTGTGGAAATAACAAACACCCAGCAGTGCAGGATGTGTTTTTGCCTCCCTCCTGTGCTTAGGGAGAAGGGTTCCTGCCCAGAACATCACCAGGAGGCAGAGAACTGCAGAGCAGGGGCAGCACTGCTGTCTGCAAGAGATCAGCATGGGGCTTGTGTTGCACCTGGCAGAGCAGCAGGTCTGCTGCTGCTTCCCTGCCCAGGCTGGCTCCAACGCAAGACCAAAGCTGGCTCTGTCCCAGCTCCTCCTGCCAGCACATGTCACCTCCGTGGGCTGCTGCCTTTACAGAATGAGGCCGGGAGAGACACGGAGAAGGGGCTGCACCAAGGCCAGTCCCCAGCTCAACACACTGCAATGCTGTGCAAGTGTAACCCTTCCTTTTCGTCTCAAAAGCTCTTGGCCTCAGTCCTCTTTGACTCCCATTACGTTACTAACAGCCAAAATTCTTGCACAGGCCTCTTACACACACCCTGCGCTTCCCAGCCTGGCTAACTCCTAAAATTAGCTTCCTTACAGATACAATGAAGAATACAACTCTGAACTCTGTTGCTCTGAACACAGCTTCATCTCACCCAGGATTATAACAGAGCACACTAACTGTTGAAGAAGACCACCTAAAAATTGCATTCAGCCTCATCTGTGCCCACTTTTCACTGCACTAAATTATTTGTCCTAATGCAATTTGCTCAGATAGAGTATCCCCACCTGGAGTACTGCATCCAGTTCTGGAGCCCCCATTACAAGAGGGACGTGGACCTGCTGGAGCGTGTCCAGAGAAGGGCCACGAGAATGATCCGAGGGCTGGAGCAGCTCTCCTATGAGGACAGACTGAGAGAGTTGGGGCTGTTCAGTCTGGAGAAGAGAAGGCTCCGAGGTGACCTTATTGTGGCCTTCCAATATCTTAGGGGGGCCTACAAGAAAGCTGGGGAGGGACTTTTTAGGATCTCAAGTAACAACAGAACTAGAGGGAATGGGGCAAAGCTGGAAGTGGGCAGATTCAGGCTGGACGTGAGGAAGAAGTTCTTCACCATGAGAGTGGTGAGACCCTGGAATGGGTTGCCCAGGGAGGTGGTTGAGGCCCCATCCCTGGGGGTCTTTAAGGCCAAGGCTGGATGAGGCTCTGGGCAGCCTGATCTAGTGGGAGGTGTCCCTGCTCATGGCAGAGGGGGTGGAACTGGGTGACCCTTGTGGTCCCTTCCAACCCTGAGAGATTCTGATCTGTTTTGGCAGAGGACTTTGGAGCCCTGGTGGCTCGGTGGTTGGACTTGATGATCTTGGAGGTCCCTTCCAACCTAAATGATTCTATGATTCTAACCAGCACCAGGAAAGGCCAACTAGACAGGTGGCAGCAGGGAGTCACAAGGTACCAGTAACCGGGCAGCCGTGGAACGCTCCATTTCCTGCAGCAGGGCTGGTAGGAAGACCTAAAAATCCTCCTAAAGTTCCATGCCCATACCTTAATTTGTCCCAGACCTGGCAAGGTAAACCTTCAGCTTTTCTGGCCTGAGCCTAGAGCAATACAAAACCTACTGAACCCCAAGCTTACTTTATAACAAATTACTTTTGCTTTTATACAAAACTGCCAATAAAATGAATTATAAAATAGCAGCTGCTTCTGATATTTAATAAAGCTTATCAGCTCAGAGAAGGACCAGGACAGCTATGGAAAACAGAACAATCAGTACATCTATGTTTACATGTTCAAATTAATGGTCCTATGTTTAACCTCACTACAAATACAAGTGAAGTAGTTTCTATGTCACAGCACAAGCCTCTAATCTCTGCAACTCTCTAGTGAGAGACAGTTTTAGAAGCTTCACTTTTTAAATGAAACAAGTATACAAATAAACCCAAATAAAACTGCCAGCAAAGTGTCTCATACTTGGTCAACACCACGTTTTTCACTTGCAGCAATACTTTGCAATAGAGACACACAGAAGCACTGTGAAGTTTACAGGAGGGAAGCTAGAGGCCTTCACCCACACGGGCAGGGGAACTGGCAGCTTTAAGCACACTGAGAAGCACGAGAGATGTTTGGGATTGTGAAAAGATGTTTATAGCAATATTTCTGCTAAAATTACCTACAGTGGCACACAGAACAGTGCACGTATTTCAAAAAGGTCATTAAAACCTGCTGAAGTCTTAGAAACACTGTTTCAAGCTCCCCACAGGTGACAGGAGATGACAGCTTTTGAAGCACAGGGATTTCTCCTCCTCATATGCCACATCATACTGGCTGCCTTGCAGGACTTATATACTCCATGCACATGTATGACAGGAGAAAATAGTTGTTACAGTCCTGAATTTAATAACACACCCTCCACTTAAGCATACAAAATCCCTTCAGTGGCCCACTCCTTTAAAAGGTGCATTTAAGTATACATCTCTCCTCATTTGATTAATGATCTGATTTGGCAAACACAAAAAAAAAAAAATTGTTTTGTATTTGTCATCAACTACCACCGTATCTTCATGTTCTCACTGCAGCAGCTTTATTAGGTACTGTCATTATCAGGCACTGTATTCATTCTTAATCTCTGAATACCAAAATACCTAGATCTAGGAGTGCTCTTTTGAATTACATTCTCAAATCGATTTTAAAACCCCTCTTTAAACTCCAAGTGGAATTTGCTTCTGCTTTCAGAAACCAGAATATCCTCTTGGGGCCACAAAAATCCAGACCTTTAACTCGCTTCTTACAGTGATACTTCCAATTCTGCACAAAAGCTTAATGCCTCACTCATGAGCAACTAGCAATGGGGGGGATAATATATATGTTGCAGGATTCTACTGGCAATGCAGAAGTTAATTTAAAGATATTGCAAGGAAAGGAACAACCACACTGTGTTGTGGATAAGAGATTATTGCTTTACGATTAAATATAGTTTGGAACGCAACAGCATTTACAGCAAACTTTTATTCAATAGATTAAAAAGTGTATGGAAATTTTCATGAACAAATAGTTACTTGATGGAAAACACCTTTTCCTCCTTAAAAAGTTCTCCTACAAGAACACTGATATGCATTTACCTACAGTAACCAGTTTTATAATGCACAGGTGTTTTGGGATTCTCGTATACACATACAGCATCATTTCCATAGCTGAGGAGCTATTATCCTGAGCAGTACATGAAGACACATTTTATAACCTACCTACTTACAGGACATTTATATAATTGACAACAAGCACAGAACAGTTTATAGACTTTAAACATTTAATATGCCCTTTCACCAAGGAAGGCAAACAACTGTAGGACTGCTTAACACCCGGTGTCCATCCAGTATCGTGTGTTTAGATCCGCAGTATAAAGACACGCACAAAACATTTTTGTGGAGTACATTTTGTTACAATAAACCAAGCTTGTATTCCACCATCATGTGTGGTTCTCCCATAACCTCACTCTGTGAAGGATCTGGAAAAAAAATAAAGTTGACCACGTGAGGCTTTTGCCAAGCTACAAAGACGAACAGCAATAATGAACATGACCGTATCGATTTGGCAAACACTTTTCGTATCTTTTTTTGTGTTTATTTTTTCCTCACTCTAATGCTTAGCACAACAGTGACTTGATGGATTTTTGATAGTGTTGCACAATGCAGGTCCTAAGTCTCTATCCAAACCAGTGATCAGGTAACAAACATCTGCCATGGAGCAGTGTTTCATGAGAGACACAGACACACACACACTTCAAGTAAAACCAACCACTTCTACATGAGCAGTCTCCTATAGCCTGAATGTCAAGGCTGATCGACTTCTGTGTTGAAGAAAACTCCAATCTGCCTGAAGCTAACCTTTCCAGTGCAGCTTCTCTGCACCACAGAAGCTCACACTCCCTTCTGTGAGTTGGGACATACGCAGGGTTTCTCCTCCCCCATCGAAAAGCCTGGTTTCATTCTATGCCCTTAACTATCTGAGATTTCCTCCATTCTGTGAAGTAGGGTTGACATTAGCCACTGTACTCAAAGGTTATCAAGGAACGTACAGAGGACAGGAGATACCAATACTGGCAGGATGAACTTCATTTACATACAAAAAATTTAATTAAAAAAAAAAATGAAGGCCAGGAAAAATGTTGTGACTATACTTTGGAGGAAATATTCCCTTCTTTATGGGTGTATTGAGAGGGGTTTCCTTCCATAAATAAGGCATGTTAATAGCTTTGATTCCTTCAGAGACACCAAAATTGCCCAATCCAGCCCCAGCCGATAAATAGAACCTTACTAAAAAGAACACTTTTAACCCACTCATTCCTTAGAACACTACAAATATGTAACAGCTTGTTGTGGTAAATGACCAATTTCCTATAATTCACGTTTGACATTGCTCTACTCAATATACCACAATAACAAATCACTCCTTCCCTTGCTCCCTGCAAATCCATCCCAGAAAAGAATCCCAGATTTGCCTCATGCCTCTAGATTCCCACTTATCCCTCCATCATTTCCAGTCTTCTATCTCCCTAGCTCTTTCCACTCTAAAAAAAAAAAACAAACCACAAAACAAACCTCTCTGCCTCTTTCCATGTCCTTAACTACCAGCTAGAAATAAATGTGTGTTTATATATATGTGTGTGTGTATATATATATATATTTTTTTTTTAAAGCTACTCTTCCAGGCTTATTCTATTCTACACATACTAACCATCAGTCAGTAGCCCACCAGACAACTGCAAACTGTCAAGTTAATTAGAGGAAGCCTTCTCCCTGTCGCATGTCTGGTTCATGAGTTCAGCATCTCCCCTCTGGCCCTTCATGTTAACCACAGAATTTATAAAAACTTAGTATCTTTGTAACCTCCACCTGTCAAAATGTGCCCAAGGAGTTCACAAGTTTCTGGGGAAAACAGGTATACCATGTAACTGCATAATCTTCTATACCTTAGAAACGCAGCCTACAAGCAAATACTGACTTACTCAGTATTTCAGAGTAATTTCTGCACAATTGGCAGCTGAGCCACATTTATTTCTCCTCCCAGTGCTTCTTTGCTTTTAGGAATTCTTTTTTTTTTTTTTTTTGGTGCATTTAATTCTCATTCCTTAGAGACAAAGAAATTCACAGTTCCCAAACTTTAAATGTTCCCATAAGATTCCAAACAGAATGTATTTACCATTAAGGATATCCTCAAACCCGATGGACTCATCGTTTCCTCTCAGAGTATCCAACGCTACGTTTGAGCTGTGAAGAAACGGGAGACGCTGGACCTGTGAAGAGACAGGAGCTCAAGTTCTGGCAAGTCTGCCATGCAGGGGGTTTCTGCTTGGATTTCTCAGCCTGAGGTGGCTGAGAGAAGCAACAGGCAAAGTCACTTCTTCCTTCAAAAACAATGATGAAATAAGAGAACTACTGGCACACAGAGATGGCAAAACCTAAACAGCACCATCTCCTATTGTTTATCTGTGTTTTGAAAAGAACACCCTTCTGCTAGATCTGTAGCTTTCACTGCAGTGTAGCTACCACAGCAAACAGTGTAGATGAAAAGCAGGGTTTTTCCTCCGCTCTGTTGTCACATGAGGCTGGGGAGACTCACTGCAAACACACACACCTACACCCTAAGGTCAGTACTGGGCAACTGAGGTACACTGTGGTGTTTGGAAACCACTTTCCAAATCTCCTACATCTCTGACACAAGTCAGGAAGGGAAGTGAAAGAGATGTATTGATTTTCACATCCAAACACAATCCTCCTTGCAATTACTCTAAGTATTTTTTCACTGATCTCCACCAGTTCTTAAGCCTCAAGTCCACTCCCAGTTGCTTTCAACACTCTTCTGTACCCTTCACCCACAGTATTACAAAAAATTTCAAGTGGTACACACAGCATTTGGAACCTAAACATTCAGAGAATGCTATATCTGTACTTAAAATTGCATTCACTACTAGTAGTGATACTTCAGCCATATCACAAACATATTTTACAACCATAAAATGGTCATGTAGCTATCTCTTTACAGACAAATGTGTCAGATTTCCATCATCACTACTGGTACAATTGTCAGTTCAAATGCACTATTCCAGTAAATATTTTAGAACAGTAAAATTAAGCCACAAGAGAACTTGCATACCTAACATGAAGCTGGGAGTGAAAAACCTAATCGCTTTATTTCCCCACCCCACAGGAATAGCTGTGGGGAGACACTAGCAGGGTACCCTCACCTGCCATAAAAAAAGTAGAAGAATCTTTTTCCATAGGAAAAAGGTTTTTCCTCACAAGACAGCACAGCTGAGATCAAGAGAAGTTTTCACAGATCCTGTCTGACTTGCTCATCTTCAGGACCAGCCACTTCTGCCATGTTTAATGCAGGTCACTGTGGTTCAGTAGCACCTGACCCACTGGAACGGAGTGCAAGACTGCTCTAACTAAGTTGGAAAGACAACTCTTAATAGTTCAACAACCTTCAACAAGGAAAAAAAAAAGTCTGCTAGGACCAATGAGCTTTTTATGTTTCCTAATGGACAAAGTCAGCCTCCCTCCAGTTACTCTCCATCCTAACAGATAGGGAGGAAAAGGAGACAGACTCAGCTTCACAACTAGAAGTTAAAACTTTTGAACTTAATTCCCTGTAGACCTCCCCAATCTTTCTAGCAAGGCTGCAGTACAAAAGCAGCATATAGCAAAACTCTCTGCTTCACATTTCACATTACCTCTGTATCTATTCCCAAGTCACTACCTGCTTCAGACCTCCAAGTCTCTTTTCCCTTCCCATGAAGGTCTTATGTTCTAAGGAGGAGAGTATTAATTTTAGGAATCAATACTCAATTCCTCCTGCTTTTCTTCTAAGTCTGACAGGAAACTAGTCCACAGAAAAGCTAGGGCAGATACCACTTCACCAAGTAACCAATAAAAGAACAGCAGATGAACAGCTTCAGCATATTGACTGCTCTGGAAACTATTAGTGCAGCATTTGGTCACTTGGTTTTAATAAAGGCAGTCCAGTGAAATAACTTCTTTTGGAAATATAAAGTATTTCAACAAAGATGTCTCTCTGAAACATGTTCCAAGATAAAGACTTTCAAGCAGGTCTAGTTATATCAGTTGGATAAAAAAGCCTACCTGTTTCACTGCTCTCAATTCCATCTGCAGCTTTAAAGGTGCATGGAGTCCTTGAATATTCCTCAGCGTGGCAAAGTTTGTTTTATCTTGATTTAACTGGAACTGTCAAAAACAACATCAATTTTTACTTTAGAAAAAGTTACTTTCAAATACAGCCATGGAAGAGATTTATGACATCCTACTTAAATGGACATACTTATTAATTCAAATACCAAAGTTAAGGGATGCAGTCCTGAAATGTGTCCAGAGAAAAGCAACAAAGATGGTGAAAGGTCTAGAGCAAAAGTCTTGCAAGGAGTGGCTGAAGGAACTGGGGTTTAGTCTGAAGAACAGGAGGCTCAGGGGAGATCACACTCTCTACAACTCCCTGAAAGGAGGCTGTAGCAAGAGGGCATCAGTTTCTTCTCCCAAGGAACACATGATAAGAAAAGAGAAAATGGCCTCAAGATGCACCAGGGGAGGTTTAAGTTGGATATTAGGAAAAATTCCTTCACAGAAAGTGTTGTAAAGCCCTGGAACATGCTGCCTAGGGAAGTTGTGGAGTCACCACTCCTAGAGGGACTTAAAAGACATGTAGAAGTGGTGCTGAGGAAAATGGTTTAGTGGTGACTTGGCAGTGCTGGGATAACAGTTGGACCCAATGACTTTAAAGGTATTTTCCAAACAGAATGACTCTACGATGCTATGTGTGTCTCAAACGTGCACAGAGGACAGTGAAGCAGTAAGTTTCCTATGAAACAAAAATTGCTTTTTGATGGATTTTATTACAAATCAATAGTAGTAATTTTTTTTTTTTTGACAAGTGCATGTAACACCACCAAGTGGTGTAGTTTTGCACTGCTCTGCATTACTACGATATCATCAGCACAAACTGGAAGCTAAGTCTGGTTTAAAGTAAGAACACAAACTTTAAACCCACAATTGATGTCACTGTTAGCCATCAAACACTCTACTTGAAATGCTTCTTTTCTGGTAGGAAGACAGGGGACCACATATACTCCATATGACTCCAAAAAGCAAAAGAAAGATCCAGTTGATAAAATTATGATCATTAAAACAAGGAAAATTCAGTAGTGGGTTCTTTTAATGAAAAAGTGCTGGCTCATGAGTACTTAAGTACCCAAAAGTAACATGCTTGAGTAACCCAGTCTAAAATTTGGCTTTTAGAGCAGTGACTACATGCCTGTGATGTTGACACAATGCAATACTGTAAAGTAAAACAAAAACCCACAAATCTCTCACTTAAAAACCTGGACTCAATCACCAAAACAGAAGTCTACTAGCATGAGAGTATCATCCTGTTCATGCAGAAGGATTCCAAAAAACAATGGCAGAATACAGGTAAAAGGCATAACATATCTTTTCTTCATAACAACCTGTAATAAAACTTATTCAAAAATTAGCAGAAAATGCTATTTATATGCCTCACCCCACACTTCCAATTCTGGTTACATTATTTTTCCATTTCTTTTACTTTATAAAGGTAAGGGTCCTTATCTGGGTAGCAGAAAGATTTGGCTTCTACTTTCTGCTTTATGGCAGTAAAAACAACCATAACTGTCTCAGGCTAAGAGAAACCTTTTCCCATTCAAACACACTTGAAAATAATTCTTTAATAAATCAGCCATAAGCTTGCAGCAAAAATAACCAAAAAAGACATGAAAAAAAAAAAAATTCAAGTTTCATGTATTTTTTAGGGGATCACATTGTCCATTTTAGTAATTTCTGGGCCGTTTTTCTCTCTGGAATGTAATCTTTTAATTAGGTAGGTTTTATTTATAGTATCTGTGAGTAATCTTGTGAAGCTGGTGCCACATTAACATTGTCCTTTTAATTCAAGACAACAATAGCACTGGTTAAAATTGCAATACATCAGATACTACATTCAGACCTTGTCATGCTGATCAGCTCAGCAACTGGATCTGCCTCTGCTTCAGGACAATTTATTATATCAAATCTTCCGTGCTGACAAAACAGGCACCAGAGGCAAGATTCAGTTTAATTTAGCCAAAGCTGTCAGTCTAGTCTTGCCTTACCTTCAACCTATGGTCCACAGACCACCCTTAAGTGGTCTATGAGTGACGACTATGCCAGGGGAAACTGCATACACTGACAACAAACTCTGGGTAAAATTTCTAGATGGCAAATGAATTAAGGAAAAGTATTTGTGGGCTGAGAGACTGAAAGTCTGAAAATTAGGATATATACAGTGAACTTACAGACAAAATGGATCAGCCTTCCACAGGTGACAGATGTGCTCACCACCTAACTACAGAGGCTGCATACACAACTAGTTTAATACCTTTTAGATGACTAAGGCTACCTAGTAAATCCCCACTCTGAAACGTGCTTACAGACTTGAAGTGGAGAGAGTCACAAGTGGGAGGTTAACGTTACACAAATTTACCAACAATGTTATTGCATAAACAAAATGTTACTGTTAAACACCTTAGGCAAGATCCTGCTCATGACTTGTTACCACACAAAGCAGTGCCTGTAACCACGGTGTTAAACTTCATAATTAGTTACGAGTGAAGATGGTTACATTTGATGTTATACTTACATTTTTTTCTGACAGCTCCAGTGGGTGGGTAGGCAACAATTCACTTTTCACACTTGAAAAGCTAGAAATACGAATATAAATATCAAACTCCACTTTCTAAATTAAAAAAAAAAAACCCAAACACCACAAGAAACCACACACACACCAAAACCAACCAACTTAACAGTGAAGCAGCAAATAAGACCTTCAACCACATCACTATCAGAAGGAACAACAAAAAAAGTTCCAGGCATTCTTTTCTTTGTTTGACAAAACAGAATGACAGCATTTCTTCCTTGACCCTCTTCAGAAATAGAGAAAAATATTAACAAATGTAAATGTCAGCAGTTTAATTATGCCTAAGCTACATGGTATCTGATTGCAGAAGTTTCCACGGTTTTGGAGCTGAATATTGCACATAGCTTTCCCCCTGGCTCCCAAATAGTTGTATTACCCACATTTTAAATTCCATGAGCTTCTTTTAGATTCATTACATGTACAAAGTTTCGCACTCATGTAAAACACACAAAAAAAGACACTATTCTTACTATATTAATTTTACTTTCTGTACCTCCACTGAAACCCCACAGTGCTGCGGCATGCTCACATACATGTATTTTACAAGTAGCACCTTTCACAATTATTAATACTTTGCCATCATTTATTTTTAAATGACATATTAAACAGGTAAAAAAAGTACATTAATATTACTTACTTCTTGAAACAAAGTTTCACAGAAAATTCAAGCTTGATAGACAACCTGACCAAACACGTGTTCTTTAGGCTACAGCTTTTGAGATACATCTGCCAAGACCTTCTTTAAAAGTCAACATCCAATACACACTTTCTTCCTATCTCTTGAAGTATGGCACAATTCAACAAGAAGTAAAGCATACCCTCGACGCAGAAGATCATGAACTTCAAACGGTCCTGAAGATGAAAGTTCAGTAATTGGGACACTATCCTTCAGCAGAGAAGAAACCTCTCTGGAATTCTGGAACAAAAAACTGAGCATTACTTTAACAGAACTTGATCCCTTTGGTATGGGCCATTAAGCAAATGAAGCAAAGTGCTTAAAGAGTCCTTAAACCATTCATATACAAACCTAGACCTTTTAAAGCAATTGCTTTAAAAAAAAACACAACATGCACACACACAAAAAAAAAAACACCAACAAAACCCAAACCCCACATTAAATTAGAATTCTTTCAGAGAGTCTGACAACGCTTAAAAGGTGCTGACAATTTTTTTTAATCTGTCTGAAACACTTTAACTTGGAACTACCTCTTGTTCATTCCCACCTTGGGCTGCAGGGATGGAAAAGAAGGATGGTCATGCTCATCTGACATGACAGAAAGGAACGTGTCTGAGCATTCCTTCATTTACCTCAATATAGATACAATCAAGTAGGATCAAACTGGCTATATACATGGTTTAAGGCTGCCATAAAGAGGACAAGGTGTATTCAAGTGGTCTAGCATGCTAGTTAACTGAAAAAGCAAAGGAAAAACACTAGCTTGTAGCAGAAGGCCAGAAAAAAACACCTCCAGAGACTTAGTGTAAAGCCACCCTAACTCAGACCACTAATTTCTTGCTAACCTGTCTGACTTCACTGAATTGATTTGGGGATTATTCATACAAAGTGCTCCAGCAATGGGCCAACGTGTAACAAATTCTGGAAGGTGACAGCAATAATCTCTGTAAGGTGACAGTGAGTTCAGTAGGTTGTTCAGAGTAGGATTTTCCTCCAGCAGCACTGCTGGATCCAACAGAAAATTCATTCTTACAGTTATGGTCTTTTGTACTAATGTGTTAACTGTCAATAGCCTAACAGCTATTAGAAAACCCTAAAATACCTGTTATTACCTGCATATAAAGTATCGACCAACTAACACACTCAACGCTGACCAGACCTTTCTGACATGGCTCTCAGTAAAAGCACTAACAAAATACAATACCTAGAAGATCTGACAAATAAGATCAAAGCCAAAGTCAAATGTAAGGAGAAAACCACTAAATACACCCAGAGTAACGCACCCAAGGCACGCCAGCGCCTAACCCACCGCAGCGGGGCGAGGCGCGACCTCCTT